TTTCCTCATCTCAATCTCATTTCCATCGTCTCCATGCAAACGTCACAGCACGCGCCAAAATCGCCATATCCTCTCGACACTCTAATGGATCAGGTGCAGGCGCAGACGTGCGCCCGCCTGCCAAGCTAGCGTCTAGCTGCGCGAGCACTTGCGACACGTGCGCGCCACGTTTTGCCTTATAACACGCGATTGCTGGACGTTGGGCGRCATGCCGCAGGCCCACAACCACTCTCTATCTCTACATAAAACTAGTTTTGGTGGGCGCGTGCTATTGAGTGCGCCTTTTGGCGTTGGGTTGTACAGCCGCCACTCGCTGCCTTTACATATGAAAGCAAAATTGCATTTTCATTAAATCTACATACATACATACATATTAGTATATCACAGTATTTTTACTGTTATTTATATATTTATGCATGCGCGTGTGCTTTTGTTAAGTGCGTTTATTCATAATTTTCGTGTGTCACGTGTCGGTCGTGTGCAGACCTTTTTGTYCTTATGTATTTGTGGCGAGCACTCATGCTGACTTCGTTTGTGTGCGGCTGGCTGTGGTCGGGCCATAATTTTTGGGTGATAAAGTGCCAAATTTAATGTTTCTTTTCTTGCTTTCGTGTAGCGCGCGTCCTTGCTGTTTGTGTTCGAATATTGATCTGGCATTTAACGATAGAAGCGTAATTATCTTCTCAAGTGTTGCGTTTGTGTATTTGAAAATATTATGCGAAATCGTGAAAACCGGCAAATAGTAAATATTTGTAAGATTTTCTTTAGTTTAGTGTAAAGGGCTACCAAAACTGCGTGGTTTTCTCGATCTCATTCAACAACAAAGGCGATAATGTACTGAKGATTTTGAGCACTGTTTAGTGAGAGACAATGGTAATAAAGTCGATATTTTTCTTCTATATATCGCAATATGTGAAGCATATTATCTTTATTTCTCAATGAATCGAGCAGGCCATATTGAACCAAAGATCACGTTGGTGCAAACCTATAATTCTAAGTCAGTCACTCGAGTGAACCATTCCAAAATGTACCGAATTTAAAGCGTGGAGAGCTGTAATAAGTAACAARCAAAGTAAGAGCGCCTAGATTCCGGGTAGCGCATGGAAAAGGTAGTGTGACTGTTTGGAAAAAGGGAGAATCATCGACTGCGACTATTACGCAATGTTGTTGGAGGACGAACTGGCCAAATTCAATGTTCAATTTAAGCTCAGTTAATAACAGCGCTCCATTCGTTTCTTCTTTTAGCAATTCGGCGCCAATTCAAAATACCAAGGGAAATCAGATACCATTCGCTGAACTATGTCAATTTATAACTGAAACAGCTCATCCYTCCATCGATTGCAAGGATCATACATCTTTCGCCGAACCTTTCCTCTGTAAACTCAAAACACCGATTCATCAGATGTTGTCATGGTCCATGCCTCTGCACCATACAGCAGGACGAGAAGCACCTGTTGACAAAAATGATTCTGCGTTGGATTTCGAGGCTTACATGGTTGCTGTTAATATTAGTTCTAAGACAGATGAAAATATCTACGACTTCGAAGTTATGACTGTCAACAGAAACTTGATAGCCGAGTCGCCGAGTCGCCGGTGCGACGATTTGTTTGATGACAGGAGATATTTCGTCTTGTCCTCGTTCACTACCAGATCCATTAACTTCGCTTCCTAGCGCACTTACTGAGGTCAATGGTATCAATTTCATCGGCATACGCTGACAGATTTACACTCTTATAGAAGATTATACCTTGTCTACTTATATTTGCAGCTCGAACTATTTTCTCCAGAARCAGGTTGAAAAAGTCGCACGATAAGGAATCGCCTTGTCTGAAACCTCGTTTGGTGTCGAACGGCTCGGAGGTGTCCTTCCCGATCCTGATGGAGCTTTTGGTATAGCTCAACATCAGTTTACACAGCCGTATTAGTTTTGCGGGCTTACCAAATTCAGACATCGCGGCAAAAAGCTGCTTTGAAGGCTGTCAAAAGTGGCTTTGAAATCTACCAATACGTGATGGGTGTCGATTCTCCTTTCACGGAACTTTTTCAAGATTTGTGCRCATGGTGAATATCTGGTCGGTTGTTGATTAGCCAAGTCTAAAGCCACAATGATAAGGTGCAATCAGTTTTTTGACGGTRGGCTTTAATCTTTTACACAATATATTCGACAGAACATTATATGTGATGTTAAGGAATCATATTCCACTATAGTTGACGCAGATTGTAGGGTCTCCCTTTTCGTGGATTGAGCAGTGCACACTTAGGTTCCAATCGTCGGGTATGCTTTTGTTCGACCATATACAATCAGTACCTTGTTTGAATAGTTCGACTGGCAATTCATCGGCCCCCACCCCTTTGCTGTTCTTCAGATGGGTAATTGCTATAAAGTTGAGTTTTGCGTTTTAATCTTCAGTCTGCGGTTTTTATACTCTCGCAACAATGTTGCTAAAGAGAGTATTATAGTTTTGTTCACATAACAGCTGTTTGTAAGTCGTAAAACGAAAAGAGTCAGATATAGGGTTATATATACCAAAATGATCAGGGTGACGGGTAGAGTTGAAATCCGGATGTCTGTCTGTCTGTCTGTCTGTCC